GTCGTTTCACGCTCCAAAAGATTATATAAACTCGTTGTCTTTCTTTGGAACTGAGATTCGCGCCGTTGAACTCTCGGAGCTTTGTTTTGGAACAGAGGGTTCGGTGTCAGGCTGCGACTACGATGATTACAATGAGGAGAATGATGCCGAATATCACCATGAGCAAGCATGTCTGCATACAGTGGATATCACCATGAGCAAGCATGTTCTGTGTCTTGGAGGCTTTAACGAGATGGGTCTTCCCCTGATCTGTTGTTGAACGTGCATTATCGATGTGGGTGCCGACATCATCTGCCATAAAAATCAGTAGATGTAGTTAGATATGAATGTATTTTTCGAGTATCGGAACAGGGTTTCTAGGTTTTCTCTCTCGGGTTTCAGAGGAGATGCCTTTGGTCATGAACCAGCACGGCAAGATCTTTAAAGATTTCGTTTAACCTCCCCGATTTGCTGCTGAACTTCTTGTGTTCTTTGCTCTCGTTCCTCTATCGCCGCCTCGTTGAAGGAGATCTCGTTGTCAAGAAGCAAAACTTCTTGCCTTCAACCAAAGCATATAGTCACAATGTTCTCCTCATAACATTCGGCTCCGATGTCGGATTGAAGTGGTCTTGATGAACACACGTTAGCTATCGAAACGGTATTTCCAATGATGTACACACGTAATTTGGACTTGTACTGAGAACGTTACGTGGCTCGCAACGGTTCGCTCTTACACAGTTCGTGGTCAAAACATAGACTCATAGTATTTTCGTCATAACTTTCGGCTCTGATTTCGGATTGGAGTAATCTTTGTGTCAATGTGTAGCTATGAAAAAAGGCTTTCGAATGGTATATAGTACGCATGATTTTGGACCTTTATTGTGAAAGTTATGGAGCTCGTAACGTCGGAATCTTGCATGCTTTTCCTCTTTGACATTTTGGTGTTCGAAATGTTTCCGGATTGGTTCCGAATCATATCTTTTCCTCAGAAATTGTTCCATTTTCATCCAAAACTATAATTCTCCTGCAAAATATTAAAAAAACATCGACTTCGATGTAAAACTATACAAAAGAACTAGTACGAAATACGATATATATATATATATCCTATATTTTTCGGATTTTTGACCAATCTTACTAAATATATTCTCTAAACTCAAATACCGAATAATGAGAATACTGCCCCAAAAAAAAATTCATCTTCAGTTACAGAAAACACCCAACAAATCCATCTTTTGCAACTTTTCACACCAAATACAAATCACTCAAAAAAAAAAAAAAAAAACAAATCCCCAAACCCCAAAACAATATCAGTTTTTTTTTTTCCCTTCTGAGTAGATACAAATTACAATACAGCAAATATCACAAAAAATTTAAAGGAAAAGATGTAAAGATCTCAGGCGGGAACCTCATCGTCTTCCTCCTCCTCGTACTCGTCCTCGTCGTCGGCCGTAGCGTCCTGGTACTGCTGATACTCCGCCACCAGATCGTTCATATTACTCTCGGCCTCCGTAAACTCCATCTCGTCCATCCCCTCGCCCGTGTACCAATGCAGGAACGCCTTCCTCCTGAACATGGCTGTGAACTGCTCGCTCACCCGCCTGAACATCTCCTGTATCGACGTCGAGTTCCCGACGAATGTCGACGCCATTCTCAGCCCCGTCGGCGGGATATCGCACACGCTGGATTTCACGTTGTTCGGGATCCACTCCACAAAGTAGGACGAGTTCTTGTTCTGCACGTTGATCATCTGCTCGTCCACCTCTTTCGTGCTCATCTTCCCCCGGAACACTGCCGAGGCCGTGAGGTACCGCCCGTGCCGCGGGTCGGCTGCGCACATCATGTTCTTGGCGTCCCACATTTGTTGGGTCAGTTCGGGGACGGTCAAGGCTCGGTACTGCTGTGAGCCACGGGATGTGAGAGGGGCGAACCCCACCATGAAGAAGTGGAGACGTGGGAACGGGATTAGGTTGACCGCTAGCTTCCGGAGGTCGGAGTTGAGTTGTCCCGGGAAACGGAGACAGCATGTGACTCCGCTCATCGTGACGGAGATGAGATGGTTCAGATCTCCGACTGTAACGGACCAAACCATTACATCCACATATCATCAGATAAAAAGACAAGACACCGATGAAGAAGTAAAGCTTTTTCGGTTACTCAAAACACTAGAAGATGTGTGACAAAATACACTGAGTGTGTGATGTGAGCTATTGGTATTATGAAACATTAACCACCTTTGTCTTAATGTAAGGAATGAGGACATTGAAGAAGATAAGGTGACAAGGACATAAGACCAAACCCAGCAAATCATAGTTTAACTGAACTGAAAGACTAACTAGATTACTTTAAAGGACGATAAGACAAGACAACGATGTCATAAATTGAAAGGAAAGATAAACACCCTGGCTTCAACTATCAATGTAATAAGGAGAGACAAGTCACTTACAGGTAGGAGTGGCTAGTTTCAGCGTGCGGAAACAGATGTCGTAGAGAGCTTCGTTGTCCAAAACCATGCATTCGTCGGCATTTTCGACCAGCTGGTGAACAGATAGAGTGGCATTGTAGGGCTCGACGACCGTATCAGAGACCTTGGGAGATGGAAAAACCGAGAAAGTGAGCATCATCCGATCTGGGTACTCCTCTCTGATCTTGGAGATGAGAAGTGTTCCCATTCCAGAGCCAGTCCCTCCTCCCAAGGAGTGGCAGACTTGAAATCCTGTTCGAACAAAATGAACAATATCTGAATCTCGGGCACAGAGACATGAAGTTCCATAAACCAGGGGAGAAACTCTCAGATCAAATGCATCAACATGATTAAGTGCAGAATATCTCTTAGATCCACTAGGAACAATAGACAGATAACTTGAAGGCATTCATCGCATAATCCTGTAAGGATTGATCAGACAACTACTATGAGACATTAGAAACAGGAATCATAGAACATGACCCAAGTTCTGGTGTCTGAAAATATAAACAATCACTTTCAGATACAGAAACACTGAGAGACAATTCCAGGATTATAGATTCGAACCCACACAAGGAACGTGACAATCAAACGCGACATCAAAGAGAAGTATGCAACATGAAGTAATAATAGATGACATGACAAAACTCAAAACCCTAAATCCGACAAAAAGAAGCAGATAATTGGGGAAACAGTCGTCTTACCCTGCAAGCAGTCGCAATTCTCGGCTTCCTTCCTGACAACATCGAGCACCGAATCGATCAACTCTGCTCCCTCCGTGTAATGTCCCTTAGCCCAGTTGTTGCCGGCGCCGGACTGACCGAAGACGAAGTTGTCCGGTCGGAAGATCTGTCCGAAGGGACCAGATCTGACGGAATCCATGGTCCCAGGCTCCAGATCCATGAGAACGGAGCGTGGGACATACCTTCCGCCGCTAGCCTCGTTGTAATAAACGTTGATTCTCTCGAGCTGGAGATCGGAATCGCCACAGTACCTACCGGTAGGGTCAATACCGTGCTCGTCGCAGATCACCTCCCAGAACTTGGCGCCAATCTGGTTCCCGCATTGACCGCCTTGGATGTGAAGGATTTCTCTCATCTTCTCGGGAAAATGGGGAAACCTGATCGGCTCGAGTCGAGAGAGAGCGCGAGAAAATCCGCTGGGCTTTTCGAGGCGACGAGGTAGAGAGGGAGACAAGGGTTCGTGTTTGTATGTAAGAGAAAAATGGAAGGATAAGATTGAATGTCGGACCCTATTTATATATAATACAAAAATAAACTCCCACATCTCGAGGGGTATATTTGGAAAATTATATTTTTATTTAATTTTATAATATCTTTTTATTTTTGTTCTTCTGTCTTGGAATTAGCTGTCACGACTGTTCTCCAAAGGATAAGGTTACTATGTATATATATATATATATATATATATATCATGTGCGTGTGTATGTTATCATTTTTAGTTATGCATTATTTATTACGATTTGATTGCATTTTATATATTTAAATTAAATAATCTTCTAAATATAGGTGGTTTTAAACCAGTATTTATAAATGTACACGTGTTTAATTATTAAGAAAATGGCTTTTTTTTTTAAATGCGATCAATATTAAAGAGGTATAAAAGTGTTATATCCTTTTTAAATAATTAAATAATTATGAAAGTATTGTGATTAGTGGTTCTAAGTAAGGGTGTTCACTTTGACACTGGCCATTAGTTAGGTGATTTATCCCAAATCATGATTGAAACACGGATTCCCTCGAACAACACAATCATTCATCATCATCATCATCATCATCATCATCATCATCATCATCATCATCATCATCATCATCATCATCATCATCATCATCATCATCATCATCATCATCATCATCATCATCATCATCATCATCATCATCATCATCATCATCATCATCATCTCAACAACCATTTTTAATTGATTTTGAACTGTATTATAAACTCGCTCGTTTCAAAATATTTGTCGTTTTAAATTATTTCACATGTATCATTCTATATTTTCAATACTTTTTTTACAATAATTTCTAATTTTATCCCTTCTAAATTTCAAGAAATTATTAATGATAATATTGTTTTTATCATCAATAAAAATATTAAATAAAGGTGTATATGATTTTTTTTCAATATGATTTTTTTTCTTTTTAAAAAAAATGTGAAATAACTTATAACTACGGGTTTTCTTGTTATTTATTTGCATAACAAATGATAGAAAGAAGTATCAAAATTAATTACCAATTATTAATGACAGCTTTCTCGCAATCGTGTGTATATAGGGAAATGATTACATGAACTAACCTTACATGATAGATTCATAATCCGGTAATAGAAACTTCTATATATAATGTTAGACAAAAAATATATATATGGAATAATGTTTTATGAAATATTAACTTTTTTGGATTTATACCACATGAATTATGTATGAAAATAACATTTGTCAAGATAGTTTTTGTCTTAAAAATTTTAAATCTGCGTAAGCCATATTATATGGATAATTATTCAAAATGGTTTTTGTCAAAATAGTTCTTACAACATTTAAATTTATAAAAAATTGAGGTCTGTCACGAATTCGAATCTCAGATTCGGTGTGAAATTTATATTCTAAATCAAATAATTTATCTCAGTTTACCCAACAGTTGGTGACTCAATGGTTAAGAACTAAAAAATCATCCTCAAAATCCTGAGTTTGATTCCACTTACGGAAAGGATGTAATTTTTGAACTAAAATGGTTCATATACAAAAAGTGGTCCCGGACGTAGATGTAGTCAGACTGAATGCACGGAGAATCATGATGTTTATAAGAAAAAAACTTATCTCAACTTTAAAATTAGTACAAGAGATTCCATTATAAAAAAAATAGAAAAATAGATATTACATGAATAGAGTATTTGGCCGCCAAATTTAAATTTAACTTTTTTTCTAATATAAATAGCTTAATTTTATTCTTCATAAAAATCGGACAAGCTGGCAGCCGTTAGTTTTGAACCGCGGTTCTGATTCTCCGAGATCTTTGGTCTTGTCCTGAAATCAACGGTCCTGATTCATCTCTCTCCTCCCTCCCCTCTCTCTCTCTCTCTCCTTTCAATAAACCCAACACGAGGCTACTAAGGCGCAAAACCAGCGAGAATTCGAAGAAGAACAAGAACGGAAGTATCTCGGCGGTGTTTCCGGCGACGCCTCGTCGGTGCCTCGCTGATCCCTCAGTTTTCGGTCAGGTTTGTGTTTGTTTTTTTTTTTTTTTTTTTGCAATGTGTTGTCGTCTTCTTGCTCGCTTCTGTTTCGTTGGAACATTGTGATTTCTGATGCGGTTTCGGTGTTCGAATCTGAAAATTTTCTCGGACGCATTTGAGAATGCGCGCGCGGTGGAATAATCGAGCCGTTGATTTCGACGTCGCGAATGTCTCTTTGGTGTTTAGGTTAAGGCATTACAAGAATCTGAGATCGCATGCTCATGAATTCTGCATTGCGATTACAGTTAATTAGGGTTCATCAATATTTCAATTTGTGGCGATTTTTCGATAGCGCTAGCATGGTTTACCATTGTGTTAATCATAATCCGTGACTGATTCGTTTCCATGTCATTGATGTTATGCGTTTGGTGGGTCCTTGAAATCAAGAGACCCTTGTCTTCTTTTCGGATTGAAAAAACACGACATGAAGTTGAGTTGTGTCTTTTTGTTGTGCGTCTCGTCTGGGTTGTAACTATTGCTTGCTTCTGCGCTGGAATCCGAGAATTTGTTGTTGGTTTTTGGTGGTGGGACATGTTCAGTTCAAGGAGGAACACTTGGACAAGAAACCGACATCTTAACTGTCGTATCAAACGGAGATTGAAGTAGTGAAAGCATAAGATACAGGTTTCTGATACCATGAATGGATTTGGAAGGGGGAACTGGGATCAGATTAGTTCTTTGTTTTGTTTGTCTGCATATGATGCTTGTTTGTCTGTCCAACCATGGATTCTTCTTCATTGCAGCATCTCTGTCTCGTTTTTTTCTTTTTTGGACAGCTCGGTGAAGGTCTTGCAAATGGGTGGCCATGGCTTCACTGTTGATCTGAACAAACCCCTTGTCTTTCAGGTATTATTACACAATCTCCTCCCATTATTGTCTGCCGACCATGATGATACCTCTCAGACAAATCCCTTGTGTTTTTGTTTTGTTGGTTGGTGTTCCTTAATTATGATGATGATTCTTCAGGTTGGCCATCTTGGAGATGTGTACGAGGAATGGGTCCATCAACCTATCGTGACAAAAGAAGGCCCTCGGTTTTTCCATAACGACTTTTGCGAGGTATTACATTTGAAGTTTTAACCGAAAAGGCGAACCATTTGATCGAAATTCTCATCCGATTCTTGCAATGGAACAGTTCTTGACTCGGACAGTTTGGTGGGCGGTCCCTGTAATATGGCTACCAGTTGTGTTCTGGTCCATGTTCACATCCATGAAGATGGGACATACAGTTGCAGAGATCGCTGCAATGGCGGCATTCGGCATATTTATATGGACATTCATGGAATACACTCTCCATCGATTCCTTTTCCACGTGAAGACAAAGAGTTACTGGTTTGTCTCTCTCTCCCTGGCCATCTCTTACGGACAACTTTCCTGTCCGGATACTAAAGTTTCCGCCGTTTTTCAGGGGGAACACGGCACATTATCTGATTCATGGATGCCATCACAAACACCCAATGGACCGTCTTCGCCTTGTTTTCCCTCCCGCCGCCACAGCCATTTTATGCATTCCGGTATATATCATATCCTTCCGCACATTTGATTATTTATCTTACACATGCCTTTCCCCGTTCTGGTTTCCGTTAGGGTTTGATTTTGGTTATATCCTTCGGTTTCAAAGAAACTGTAACCGTTTGGTTTTATATTGAATTCGGTTTAGTTTCGGTTCGATTTCAATTCGTATTTGGTTTTTATTGATAAAAATTATTCATTTTCCAAAGAAATTTGCGATCTTTCGGTAATTTTTTTTTTCGTTTTTCGGTCTCAGATCGGTTATATTTTGATTTAGTTATTTCGGTTTTGATTTTTGTGTATAAAAATATTCATTTTTAAAAGAAAATTTCGTTTTTAAATTTTTTATTGGGTTCGGGTTGATTTTAGGAAAAAATTATAACCACTCGGTTTTCATATCGATTTGGATACGATTATGTGTTATCCGGGTCAAATCGGTTTGGTTGTTAACCGAATTCGATTTGTCTCAGTTCTGGAACACAGTGAAGCTCTTCGCAACACCTTCAACGACTCCGGGATTGTTCGGAGGCGGCTTGCTCGGATACGTCATGTATGACGTCACTCATTACTACTTGCACCATGCCCAACCAAACACACACGTAACCAAGAATCTCAAGGTAATTAAAAACAAAACAAATTTTTTTAAATAAAAATAAATGTTTTTTTTTTTGTGGATAATGTGAAAGAAACATATGATTGGAAAATGCTGCAGAAATACCATTTGAATCACCACTTTAGGATCCAGGACAAGGGGTTCGGAATAACATCCTCGTTTTGGGACATTGTCTTTGGTACACTTCCGGGGTCCAAGGCCTCGAACAAAAAAAACAAAGCAGTGTTGAGGTAAAATATAATATTCAGTGAAAACCCAAAAATATATATATATATATATAATATTCAGTATTTAATATAAAATTAGATTGTTACGCTATTGTTTAGAAAAAAATTATTTATTATTAGGACAGTGAGATCCGTCTCAACTCTCAAGGTGTATATGTGAATCCCCTTGCTTTTCTTTTTTCACAAACCAAAGATATATTGTATATCCAAATAATTTATGTACCCATTTGGAATCCTATGAATCCGGCAAATATATTTGAATTCGATAATTATAAATTAAAGAGGACTACCCGAACCGTATTGGTCAAATGTTGACCGAGAGAGTCTCCATAGTTGAGAAGGGTAGAAGTATCTTTGTTCGGGACATTATCAAATATACCCTCCATTTGCTATTTTGACTTCAAGACATATCATTTTTCAACTATGATTCTGTGATCTATGTGATCCGAAATATAATTTTGATCACATTGGTCATAACGTTAAATTTATGACGATCAGACCCATTCATTATATTCATTCATTATATTCATACCTTATATATCTCACTAATCATTTGATAAAAATATTAAAAATTTAATGTTATGGTCAATGTGATCAAAATTATGTTTCAGAGCACATGGATCACAGAGTCATAGTTGAAAAAAGATATGTCTTGAAATTAAAATAACAAATGAAGGGTATTTGTGATATAATGTCTCTTTGTTCCATATCTCATATTCGAATAGTGGGGAGAAATTATGCAATTTTAATTATATTTCTAAACTTTGAAAGATATAGATGCACCGAAAGATTAGAGAACTTTGAGTTAATAAAAGGAAAGATATAGTAAATTTTAAGATAAGGATATTTTGTAACTTAAAAAATGAAAAAAAAATGTAAAAGCTATAAACGATTTTGTAATTCTATAAATATAAATAATATTTTTGTAATTATATATATATATATATATATATATATATATTATTCAATGAAATTAAGATGCATCTTTGTCATTTCCTTCTCTCTCCCCTTTTACCGCATTGGTTTTTTTTTTCCCAAACGAAATCACACAAAATGAAGAGCCTAAAAAGACAAGCCAGAAAAAAAAATGTTATTCCGTCCGTTAGATTTAGATTCCGACAACAGCAACAACAATGAAATTCGTACTTAAATTCAACCAGAGATGGATGTCGGAATACTCTGTTCATGTCTGAAGAAGTTGTACGGATCGACCTCCGCCTTCACCTTCACCAACCTCTCGAAATTCCCCTTGAAGTATTTTCTCCCCCACTCTCTTCCTCCTCCGTTGTTCGTCCCCAACTCCAAATCTCTGTAATTCACGTACGCGCATCTAGGGTTCTTCGATACATACGCACCCATGTACCCATACATATCCCTCATCCACGCCATGTGCTTCTCTTTCACCCCCTCCCCTCCCTCCCGCCACGACGTCAGCCACTGGATCATGAACAGAGTGCCCTTCCTGTGCGGGAACGGCGTCTCGTCCTCGGGGATCCTCGCCATCATCCCCCCGTAAGGGTTCCATATCGTCAACGGCGAATCCTCTTCCATGAACTTTTTCCATAGCCCTTCCAAGCCGTGGACCGGTATCGGCTCTCTCACAAAGTCTGACTTGGCCTTGAAGTAATTCTTGAACAGCGATTTCCCGGCCAGGAGGGCCTCGGCCGGGGTGCCGCTCGGGAAACCGGCAATGTACATTACCGATTTGATCCAACTGGTTTCGATACAGTCTTTCCTCGTCAGCCCTAATTCGGGGAAACCCCTCTGCATCACCTGATAGTAAGAACAACAGCGTTGGGGTTGCAACTGTTACTTTCAAAGGTTTAGGGCTTAATTCGTGAATACCAGAAAGATAAACTAGGCAGCAAGGATAATTCCAATACGAGCCCTCAATTCTTCACAAATTACAAATCGACCCCACCATTTCAAAAAGATACCTGCAACAGCCGATTCGCCTCGCCGAGGAACTGACCCTGGTACGAAGTCGACACCGTCCTCTCGCTTCCCTTGGGACTCTTCTTCGCTGTCTGAATAATCACACGAATGAACAGATCGTCGTCAAGCTTGTCGGCGGCCTGTTGCCATCTGTACAAAACCCTAGTTCCGTCTTGTTCGAGCGTCTTCGTGACGGTGAACACGGTCACCGTCTCCGGCACCGGAACAAGCTTGATCTTCCATGCGAGGATCACGCCGAAGCTTCCGCCGCCTCCGCCGCGTAATGCCCAGAAGAGATCCTCTCCCATGGCGGCGCGATTCAGGATTTTTCCGTCGGCGGCGACGATTCTGGCGTCGAGGACGTTGTCGGCTCCGAGTCCGTACTTTCGCATCATCGATCCGTACGCTCCGCCGGTGATGTGGCCGCCAACTCCGAGGCTCGTGCACAGTCCCGCCGGAAAACCATGGATTCTGCTTTTCTCTTGGATCCTATGAAAAAAAACGGGTTTATTTACTTAACCGGCTTATATAACCGGAGCTAAATCCATACCGGTTCGGTTTAGTTCCGCTTGGTTTTTTAACGGTACGGTTATCGATTTACCATTTTTTTGGACCTAATGGGTACTGTCTGGTCATCGATATACCATTTTTTATGAAACCGAAACCGGCAAAATACCGAGGATTAACCGGCTTTTCGATAAGGACCTAATATTTTTATTTCAATTAATATGGGAAATATAAAAAATGTTTTAAAAAAAATGTTACTTGATGCTCTGTCTTGGCTTATCATTAAACTTTTATCATGGAAATCCACTTGAGAACTAAATAGTGTAATTGTATTCGGAATTAATTTAATTTAAAATTAGTTGAATATCATTTTAAAAATGATATAAAAATAATAAAAAATCAAATATAAATTGAACAAAAATATAAAAATTAATGAAACCATATATATAAGTTGAAATAGCTAAACCCACCTATGTTTATAACCTTTTTTCATGTGTTATTTATTTATTTTTCTCCATCATTTTATACCAAAAATAATTAAATTAATCATGTAGAGAGGCATACCGATAATAGAGCTCGCCCACAGTAGCCCCGGCGTGAACCCACGCGCTGTTACTGTCCACGTCAACATCGACCTGTCGGAGCTTGCACAAATCCACGATCACAAACGGCGTTTTCATCTCCGATACATACGACACTCCCTCGTAATCGTGACCGCCGCTGCGAACGCGCAAATTCAAACGCAACTTCTTGCCGCACAAAACCGCGGCCTGAACGTGCGTTTCGTACAGCGGCTCGAATATGAACTCCGGTTTTGGACTTGACGCTGTCAAGTAACGGAGGTTCTGCGCCGTCGACTCCAGCACCTGTTTGTACAGCGTCGCGTTTACATCGCGCGCGAACAACGCTGACGAAATCGGGAACGCGATATCTGCGTTTTCGACCAAACACATCACGAAGTCTTGTCGAAGTGTTGCGGACGTCGGCGAGGCTGAGAACGCAAACGTGATTGTAAGGAGAAGCGCGATAGCGGTTGGGGTTCGAACCGCTAACGCCATTGTTTTTTGTAAAGATGTTTTTTTGTGTTTTTTTTTTTTCATGTCTGTGTGTATGTTTATATAGAGGGCATTTGGATGGGGTGTATGTAAAGTTGATGTAATGATTACATCACGGCTTATATATAATAATAATAATTATTATTATTATTTTGTCAAATAATAATAATAATAATAATAATAATAATAATGAGGGATAAAATATTATAATTGATGACTGTTAATTAATTAATTAAAATATCAAAGTTTTGTGGGAGTTTATCCTGAAAAAAGTTGTGCCAATAATAATCAACAAGTGGCAAGAGATTCTCTTACGTATTCATTGTAAGAATATATTAAAACAAAAAATATTTTGTGACAAAAATTAAATCCTAACGCAGGTTTTATAATTTTTGAAATCGAATTTTTCATAATATGAAATCCAAATTTTTTCTGTATATATCTTTAAAGGACCTTAAGAACATGGAATGTAAAGATATTTGAAACCAAAATGGAATTCAAAATATCCAATTTAAAAAATGACTATGATAAAGTTTTTCTGCATAGTTTATTTTAAAATGACATGTTTTTTTAACAGATTCTGATTTTCTAAATCATTTTTAGTGTTCTTTTTTTTCCAATAAATATTATTGGGTTTTATTATTTATTATTTATTATTTTTTAATAATTAAAAAAGTAGGTTTATGGAGAAATGTATATAGTTTGAAAGGAGACCATAATTTATGGGTTTGGGACGACAAATGTGGACAATCTCAAAGAAAGTGACACCACTGTCATTGTGTTGTGGTCATTTATTCTATTCTTTTTAAATATTAATTTAATTATTCTTTTTTTATTCTCCATGTGCTAAGATTTACTATGGTTTAATATTATAATCTTAGTAGAGAATATAATTTTATATCACCAATGAATTTATGGCCATATTTTATATCACCAATATAATTTTAATTTTTTATATATATCGCATCTTTCCTCTTTTTGTAATCTAGTAGAAGTTTTTTTTTTGGGATAAACCCAAAAAAAAAACTTTAACTATTCTATTCACATCAAAAAAAAGAGTGTTTTAAAACAATTTATATATTAGATGGTCTTTTTTTCAAAATTAATAATTGATGGTTTTCCGTAATGAATTTTAAATAGAATGAATTTTAAATAGAATGAATTTTTTATATAGATAGAATATTTGAAAGGTTGTTTTTGGATTTGTCCCTTTTTTATATAAAAGTTATACGCTCAAAATGCTTCCTATTTACTAATTTTAATTTCTAGTTACATAGTGAAAACAGTTGTGAATTTGAGACGGTTTCAATGTCAAAGATAATTCTTGTATGTAATAGAAATTAATACCTAATTAAATTATAAAATTTCTATTATATATATGCCAATAATTTTAAATATTGCTAATTTTTATTGTATTTTTTTTTCAAGTTTGAAAATAATGGGAAGTATTTCATCATCCATATCCCTTGAATGGATAGTGAAATGGGTAAATAACCAATGGGTAAGACTATAAATCCCACAATTTTGGGCCAATACTTTGACAATGAGGGCAAAAGCCACTTTGGAAGTCAAACAATTCAACCTTTCAATATTTTTTTTTTCCTTTTCATTTTCCACTCTCTTTTAGCTTTTGGAAATTTTCAAATTTTCAAAATTTTTATTTATCAAAATCCTAAAAATAACTACAATAGAGTTTTGGTATTAGATAAATTAAATCCTAAAAATAATTCTTTAGATTTTTTTTTATCATATGTATATGTATAGTATTATCTAGTAAAAATTTTGAATATATATAATTATGGAATTGAATTATTTAGGTTGCATTTGCTTTTAGTGGCCACCAAAGGAAATATTAGCTAATATTAGTGGTGGTAATGGTGGGCTAATTAGCTTAAAAGCAACAAAGTGACATCAAATCTTAGACCTTGTGGTGGCCCTAAATTACTTGCAAGTTTTCAATTATGTATCCATATAGATATACACCCATTCATACTTTAATATATAATTTTCATATAAATGAAATATACCTAAGATAAAATCCAAGACTAGAAAATCACATTAATGCAGAAAAACAAAATAGTTTGAATTATTTAGGTTTTTTTTTATGTAAATTCTTTAACCTTGAAAATTACCTTTTTAAATTAGCTACAAAATCTTGTAACGATATAATGGAATCTATGGATTTTATGACTACCCATTAGAAATTAGAATACATTAATGTTATTGATATAGCAAAATTAAAATGCATGGGAGATTGATATTCATCAATATTCGTCCATACCATATACATTAAATTAGCTGATGCCAAAACGTCAAATATTCACCAACCGGCACATGATCCACATGCCATCCTTTTGATTAATATGACATCGTGTTTGGACCGTATGAAAGGAATTATACATGTGGAATAACAAAATTTATATATATATATATATATATATATATATATATATATATATATGTGAAACTGAATCTAATGCTTTTGTAATTTAATTCAGTTATGTAATAGACGAGGGATGCGTGA